GCCTGCGGAGGCGGCGGCGTGTGTGGTCCTGTTTTTGGACAGCTTTCAACTCTGGGGGAAAAAAACATTTGTCTCAAGGTACAAAAAAAGGGGGGCCGGGGGGAAGAGGAGCTGAAAAAAATGGCAAAGCACAGACTGGAACGCATGTTTGCAAAGTAGATTAATGTTTCCTCGCGGGTGGGGGCTTTTTAAATGGAATTATTCTGGGGGCAGGCTGCATTTTGCAGGCAAAGAAAAGAAATGTGTTTTCAGAACGCGGGTTTGAAGGGAGGGGCCCGAGGAGCTCTCAAAGGGATTGTGCCGGTCCTTTATCCACGTTCCTCGATTTGGGGGTTCTTGAGGCCTTTCTTAGAAAAGCAACTGCAGATTTAAAATGCGTGTTTTTTTCCTCATAGACAGAAAGATTTTACATAACTTTGGTGATGCAGGGGTTTTTTATTTTTTAATTTTTTTCCTCCTGTTGGTGGTTTCTTAATTGTCTTTTTGAAAAGGAACTAAATCCTGAGACTTGGAAGCATTTTAATCCCTAAACACTGCTTTGGACATTTCTTGCCTTACAAGAGGTTAGGGTAGGGGAACGTTGAGGTAATTACGTAGATATTTATATATATATATATATATCTGGAGTATTCCTAAGGAAACCTGCCCAAGACACAATTTGGAAGCTGAAGAGTTACGTGCATAATTGCTTCGGTGATCCCTTTCAGGATGCTGTGGGACTAAGCTTGGGGAATATTTTGTTGATCTTGCCTTGTTTATGAAGATTCAGCTTGCAGTGTCTTTAGTTGAGTATTTAGTTGAGAAGTGACAATTAAAATAATAGTCCAAATGATTAAGACAAGAAAACATCCTTGCCTTAAGTAGCTTGGCAATTAATACAAAAGTGTTCTTTGGATCCAGTCCATAGAGTAATTTACCTCAGTTCAGTGCTTCAGTGTCATTGGCACATAAAAAGAAGGGTTTTATCAAGTACCTATTGTGCTCCTAGGCAACAAGTTTCCTGAACACCTATGATGTCCCTAGCACTGTGAGGCACCGTAAGGGGCACTGCACAAACCCAAGCACTTGAAACAACTAGAATTCAGTGCATTCAGACTACATGTGGATTCACAGTAGAAATGGACTGTAAACGTTAAATGGAAAAAAAAAAAAAAGCTTCCTTGGAGGTGGTGAGGCACACTGGGAGGCAGGGAACCTGCAGAAAGAGAGGAGGAAGGGGGGGCATTTCAGGAGAGGGGAGAGTGGTCCGCACCAGCTGGCCTGGTGTGATTGGCTAGCCGGTGGGGGAGTCACCATAGGTTCTAGGATGAACACAGGAAGGTCTTGCCTTGCCCATATGTTCACTTGCCTCCGCTTGGGCCAGCCCGTATCTGTTTCTGGTCGACGATGATGACAAGAGATGACTCTGTGTTGTTTTGAGCAAGAGTTTTCAGTAGACTTTTAACAAGTTTAAGAGAGGTCATGTGATTTATTTTCTTAGCATCGGCTATTTCTAGAAATAGCTGTGTTTCCGTATAACAAAACTCATTTCAAGTCCTGGAGGGAGGAGAAACATGCTTCACATCAACAGTCACTGTGGGGACTCCCACCAAAGTGGTGAGAGGAAGCAGTTTGGGTTGTGCTTTTTCCCCAGTGGACAGAATGAAGGACATAGCTTGAGACGACATTCACTGTTCCTCCTTTTGGCCTGTGAGCTCTTTCCTCGTTTCTTCTTTGGCAGTTTCATCATTGCTCACCGGTTCTTGGGCCAGATTTTATTTACTCGATACTAATACCATCACTCACTGAGCCACTGCCACGAACCAGGCATTTATTATACAGTATCCCATGGCTTACCACCCAGCAAAGTAGCTGGCTGTTGTTATCCTTATCCTATTTTTATAACAGAATGCCTTGTGTGATGTTTTCGTGTCTAATAATCATCGTCTCGTTTCGCAGATGAGAAACTAGCAACTAGAAACTCTGTGTCTCTCCGTGTCAACTTTGCCTACTAATGACTTGAGTCACTTGGTTTCCCGTTGCCTTGGCCTTGATTTTGCACGCATCCATTCATTGATTTACTTGTGCTAGATTCTCCCCCTGCAGAAGCAGCAATAATTTCATCGATGCAGGTGAACCTAACCAGGAGGGCTGCCATACTATTTTATCGTTTTAATCTCAATTCAAAGCAGCAGTTACTGTGAGGTAATCTTGTTTATGACATAGTGAACTTAGTATTCACACAAGCAGTAAGCAGTATGAGCATTTGCTTTCAGAAGCTAAAAATTCCCTGCTGTCCTGGACTTCATTAGGAAGTCCTAGAATTGAAATGATTAACAGCTCCAATTTTAGGTTCAGTCTGTGCGCCTTACATAAATTAATCCTCACTATCAGCACAGAAGTCTATCAGTAGTAGCTTTCTTAGTAGGGCCTTAAAGATTCTGGACGTGACCATTTATGTGAACTAGGCATGAACTGAGCGCTTGCTACATAAATAAGCCAAATGGATTGCGTATTTCCCGAGTTAAAAATCAACAGAAGAGAGGAAAGTGAGACTTTAGGAGGTCAGGGATACTGAGTGACAGGAAAAATGCTGTTTCTCCTATGATTAGAAAAATGTCATGTATGTATATAGCATGAATTTCCATCCAGTTGTCTTTGTATCTGTGTGCGTCCGTGTGTATGTACATAGTCTTATTCTGCGTATCCTCCTATCTGCCAAAATAATGTTAGTGCTATCTTTTTAAAAGTCTGTCCACAAATTAAAGGGATCCTGTTGATAGGCTTGATATCTTTGAATTGGAATATATTGGCCACAACATGTAGACCAATCTATGCTAGATAAAGAAGAGTTTGTGTGTGTGTGTGTGTGTGTGTGTGTGTGTGTGTGTGTGTGTGTGTGTTGAGGCATTGGGGCTAAAATTCTTTCATTCTGCTGTTAAAATGTTCATGCAACGATTGCCTTTTAAGAAACTGTCAGTTATCTGTTTGACGCCAGCTTGGGTTTTAGAGGCATGGCATTTGCAAGTCAAAAATGTCAAATCTAGCTCACTTGTGAGTGAAGAGGTTTGTTTAAAAATAATGGCGAATGGTGTAGTGGACATCTGCTATTACAGAAACACATGATGGTGGCGCCAAGGTGGGGGAGAGACTGATTGTCATTTAAAGATAAAAACATTCGTTCAGCACATGTTCTCCGTGCCTGCTCTGCACCAGGCGCTGCGTGAAGCCCCAGCGAGATGTCGGTGACAAACCACAGGCCGTGCCCTCCGGGGACCTCCATCCAAACATCCAGCAAGCACACGGACCGGTGTGCGGGTGGTTGACATGCAGAGCGGCAGTGCCAAGATGGCAGGGAGATCAGGGATACCTTCCAGGGAGGAAGCCCGAGCCAGGCACAGGGGCCAGAGAGCTGGAGACAGAGGGGCAGTCCAGGCAGAAGGAACAGCATGGGCAAAGGTTTAGAGAACAGGAGTGTGGCCTTCCTGGGAGGCAGCCAGTGCCTCCCTTTCGTGGTTATTGAGCTTGAGGCAGGAGCCTGGGGCCTTGAGAGGTTGAGAGGGCAAGTCCTTCATGTGCTTGACTGGAGGCTGCCTGCTCTTTCTCCTGACCATTCTTTGCCAGTCTCGTGATTTGTGCTGGTGGACTTGGCCCCTAGTGTCTGCGTAGAACCACAAGTGCTTCCACCTGTATTTCACCCTTTCGGGCACCGGAGGAAACTGGTTTATTTTTACTCTTGCTTCTTTCTCTGTTGGCATTTCCCTGTTTAGCAGTTTTATCCTCCTGTCTCCCTCAGCATCTACTTGCTTTCCTATCAAACCCCCTCCAGACCTCTTTCACATACAAGTTTGTTGTCAAGATTCCCCAGTGACAGAACTTTCATTTATCTCTTGGAACTTTTTGTTTCTTCTAAAAGCTTGCCCAGTTCCTGGCCTCCTTTTCTGCAAAGGGTAACAGCCTTGAAATGAATCCATATTGCCTTGGTGTTTGGTTGTTAACATTGTAGGCGGCCAGCATCGAGGGAGGAGGGTGCACATTGTGACTTTTTTTTTTAATGAAAAGTACATGAATTTTGATGCGTAGAAGTGTTTTCAAGCTTGTATCTCACTAGCATTATGCCTTCAGTGTCTTCAGTTGAACTCGGGCAGTTGGTTGTGGAAGATAATTGAGTTTTACCACCCCGTCATTTGGGGCTGGGTTATCCTTTGTTGTGAGGGGCTGCCCTGTGCATGGTAGGGTGTTTAGCAATATCCCTGGCCTCTACCCAGTAGATGCCAGTAGTACCCTCCCCGTGGTGACAACGAAAATGTTTCCAGTCATTGCCAAATATCCCTGGAGGGTGGGACTACAGAATTGTCCCAGCTGAGAACCAGTAGTTGAGGTGATAGATCAAGAGATTTCTGTTGGAAGACCCAGGCTGTGCAGATAGAAGATTTTTATTATGGCGGAGTCATAGCTACAAATGTATCACCATAGATGTAAGAGTTTTCATCTTTTTATGATGCTCTCCCATCCCATCCCTATATTTCCTGACCCAGATAACTAATTATTTTTCATGCTAGTAATTAACAATTTTTTATTTTTCTCAGAACAGTATAAAGTATCAAAAAACACCATGACAAGTCAAGGAGGAAAGAGACCATGGAAGAGAGGAAAATATTTTTATTTGAGTACTTTTTTAAAGAGATGAAAATATTTTTATTTGAGTACTTTTTTAAAGTGGGGTCACTAATTTTGCAAAAATACCTGGTTATACCTCACCCACAAGAGGCTGAAGGCTTTAGAAGGTAACTTTTTTTTTTTCTAGAGACAGGGTCTTGCTATGTTGCCTAGACTGGTCTTGAACTCCTGGGCTCAAGCAGTCTTCCTGTTTCGGCCTCCCAAAGTGCTGGGATTACAGGCATGAGCCACTGCGCCCAGTCAGAAGGTGACTTTTTTTTTTTTTATTTTTTTTGAGTCGGAGTCTCACTCTGTCGCCCAGGCTGGAGTGCGGAGGCACGCTCACAGCCACCACAACCTCAGCCTGCTGGGCTTAGGCAATCCTTCCACCTCAGCCTTCCAAGTAGCTGGAACTACAGGCAGATGTGCTACCATGCCCG